AATGACTGAACTATTCATCTACTGGGGGGGAGTAGAAAAATATCCCAGAATTATTTATACCTTTGGACTAGTAAGGTATAGAAAAAATTTCAAATAATCATTGCTTAATGAAATGATGACTAAATACTATACAGGAATTTGGTTAAGTCTGCTACATTGGAAACTATATAATATGGTTTGGGTATATGGCTTTGTGGTGATTTAAGGTGATGGAAAGACAGAAGTGTCCAGAGCAGGTGGAGTAAAGTAGATAAACTGTGTATCAAAGGTATACTTCCTCCCTGGTGAGCTTTTATCAGGTGCTACAGACTAAATCATTTAAAGCTCAAAATGCTAGAGAAAGTGAATTTCTCCACAGATATAGTCAAAAAGCAATCATCCTGGCCCATCTCAATCTGTTTTAGGAACCTCATGGATAAACCAAGGCAAATATTTAATTTCTGACTACTTTTGTTACTTTTTTGGTCCCTCAAAAAGCACTATATTGTCCCCAGAGAATCAACAATAAATGTAGACGAATATTTTCCAACTGTAGAAGGGCAACTTTTCTCCAAAAATACTGGAAACATTTAGGGAGTTAGATTTTTGTCCTTCAGGCCACTATGGTGAAATTCATAAAGAGTGACTGACAATTACCGAAAGGAGAAGTTATTTCTTCCAGGCCACCCCAGAAAATCATTGGTTCTGTCTATCAAAGTACAAAAGTATATAATTCTTCTAGACTGTCAGTTCTTAACTGAAGTTGTGTTAGAAAAATATGAGAAGGAAGATTTATCTATCTCTGAACCTGAAGCAAGTTTTTGACATGTGAGTTTTTTTGTTCATTGTCCTTTCTGCATAGATTATGACAATTTATCTCACACACAGGGCTTCAAGCCATGGTGAAGCACAAATGAGTCTGATCTTCAGTACCATCAAAAAATTCTGCTATGAGCTTATATCAGGGTAAAAAATTTAAATGTTGTAAAGGGCAGTGCAAACCAGTAATATTTCACGATATTTAATTTTGATCTCCTGGATGACAACTAGAAGTCTTTTTATGTACTAACATTGAGTCTAAAACTACATCTAGCATGCTCTCCAAATATGCAGTTATTCTGTAGATTTGACACACAAAGTTCGTATCATAGTTTCTTAAAAAAAAGAAAGATTATTTTTAATATTCTGCATGTTTTATAAAGTCAACATAGATAGAGGTACCATACCTCTAACTAAATATGAGAACAGAGTGCTCTCAAATACTACAACCCAGAGTTTCACAACTGTTCATATTTCCTGATTAGAAGAAGTCATGTGAACTCACAATTTTAAGAGATAGAAATTATAATTATGGGCAGGGGATTTAGCGCAGTGTCACCGCTCCTGCCTTGCAAGTGCAAGGTCTTGAGTTCAACCCCCGATAGGGGAAAAAATAATAATTATAATTCTGCATGAGTTGGAATAAAGGAAAAAATATCAGAGTGTTGCACATACTGAACCCAAATTTCTGGGTAAAGAAATTGAAAAGTCCACTCTCCATTGAACCATAACACCCCTTTTAACATTCATAATGTGTATTAAATAAGATCAGTAAAAGATGACATTAATATTTTTCTTTGCTAAAGGACTCTCCAAAAGGATGGAGTGAAATGTATGTGGCAGAGAAAATACATTCCTGTTCTACTAGATCCTTAAAAGGTAAATTATGTGTACATTATAGTGGTATGATAGGCATCTTCCTAACTTAGCAAGCTCAGGGTCTTATTACATACATTTTAAGACTTGCATCCTTATGTATACAAAATAGTCTGAGAAGCTGAAATTAACAAGAAACAAGACATTTAAAAATTATATTTCAGACCTACATTCTAAAAAAAAAAAAGCAAAAAATTTAGACTCAGTAATAAATAGGCTCTTTGATAACTTAGTGACATTTATAAAATAATATAATGGTTTGTAATAAATAAGAAAAAATTAAACAAGTATGATGTCAAGTGATATGAGCCTTATCAAATCTGTCACGTTTAAAGACGAATACAAGAAAAGGAGATATCTTATGAAACAGCTTTATGAAAATCACCAGAGGGGATTCCAGAACTATGACATGAGGCGTTCTTCTCAGAGAAAAAGCAGCACATCATACTTATTTTTTCGATCGAGCCATTTGACAGGCGAGATGGCAAGGCACAGCTGAAAAGACAGCTGGTGTTAAGCATTGCTCATCACTCACATGCCAAAATGCGTTGGGAGCTCAACTCTGCAGTGTTGAACTCTGCACATGTTGATCAGGTTTATTATCGACGATTGTCTCAGAAAATAGAACAGGGTGTTTTCATGGAGAGAAATAGAGTATGTTCACATAGCATACGGATATTTTGGGTTAGGTTGTCAGAAACAAGCTTCCCTCGGGGCAGTGACTAATTCTGACATGAATTATATAATTCTGATACTATCTAATATGAATGAGAAGATAATATTGAGGTATCCAACTTAATTGATTTACTTACCATGACAAATGTCAACTTTCCACCTCAAGTTTATTATTGCCTATGAGCAATTCTAAGTTATGAGCACTAATCTCTAAATCATGAAGATAAATCACATATATTGAAAAAAGAAAGAAAAGGAAATAGATTGGCATGTAATATTTAATGAAAATGCATAATCATCTCAATCCTTTACACTTTTGCTTATAAATTTAGTATATTACTTTTATTAAGTAGTTTAGTTTGGTACCTTTTATGTAAAATAGGCAAAAAGTAAAAGATATTTTATAAAAAATTATTGTAAGGACTGGATGATACTTTCGTATATAGTAGAATAAACTCTTCACCAATGAAGAAAACGTTTATAAAACACATTTTAAAAAATAAACATTGTATAGTACAAGTTAGTGTATGAAAGTGGAATAAATAAACACACCACTAAATGGCCAAGCCATGATATATTGTTATACATTGTCAAAATTTCCATAGAAAAAATCTTATTTTATTCTTGACAAAGAAATATAGGGTTAATTACATATTTTATAAAATGAAAGTATAATATTTTAGTGAAGAATAGATTACTCATTTTATAGCTGACTTACATCTATATTTTAACAAATATTTTATGTAACACTGTCATATCTTATTTATTATATGAGTTCTTGCAATTAACACAAGTATGTTATATTTAGCATGAAAACATTATTTTCAAAATCTGCAGAAAAGACTCACATGGGTTGAGTAGGGATTGAGAGGTGTGTTGAATTGGTGATTAATTGAGAGATGAATTTGACAGTATATAATTAGTAAGAAGATCATGGCATCAATTTCTGTTCCCTAGCAATTACTAGCACACATTAAAACATGACTATAAGTGTTTGATATATATATATATATATATATATATATAGTTAATTTGAGAATCTATTAGAGAAATTAAAGCCATTTTTGCAGTATGAATCCAGGATATTTTGAAACATTGGAAATTCTTATTACTTGTAAGAGCCTTTCTAAGTCCTTATTTTTCCTACAGTTGCACAAGTTGCAATTAGTTTCTCTCATTTAGATGAGCATGGAAATTATGTATCCCTCAGATGATATGCCAGAAAACCAGTCTTGGGGTATGAAGAATAAATGTCAAAATTAATTTGGGCTGAAATGTCCACCGCTTTCATTAATAACAGTCTGGCAAATGTAGTATGACGTGATCTCTTCTAGGCAAGCTTTACACAGAAAAGGCTGTTTCCAAGACCTTTGAGACATCCTTCTAACTCAACGAATCCATGCATGGTTCTGCAAGAAATCCACTTTCATCTCTTCTTTATTAACTTAGAGGATAGCCACTAAAAATGAATTTTAAAAAACTCATTAAGTGTGATCAGACAACAAATTGTATTTATGTTGAATCATACTATCAATTGTTTACATGAAATAGTATTTCTCCAATACTTCTTTTTTTATTTAGATACACTTATATTATAACCTGTGAGGTGTCATTCTGTCTCTGAAATGTATGTGTATATGTAAATGTGTATCTATACATACATGTACATATATATACACTGTTTCCATTATTTTAAGTTCCACTGAAGAAGAGTCTGCAAACATAATTTGACTTTTCTCTTAAACATATTAATGTATATTTTCTAACATTAAATACATTACATATAGTAAAATTATCAGTATCAGGAAACTTTACAGTAATGCAAAACTATGATCCAACCTAATGTTTTAGCAATTTTGTCTCAATTTTTTGTTTTAAATTTTTCTAACAAAATATCCCACCACAATTTACACATTGCATTTACACTCATCTTTTTGAGTTTCCCTTCCTGTATTAGTCATTCTTTCTTTTCTAAGGCTTTCATAATTTTAGATCCTCAATTCAAATGTGTCTGATAGCTCTTTAGTACTTAGTTCAGGATATGCATTTTAGGGGGCTGTATAAATGCTCCTTCTTCAGCGCATCATAGTGAAATCCATATGATGTTTTCTCATATTGGAGATATAAATTTTGATCACTTGTTTAAATAGCACCTTCCATGTTTATCTTCATAACTTATTTAATCCCTAAGTAGTTTAGGAGTGCAGAACACTCTGTGACAATATAAACATTCTGTCCATAGCAACATTTTATCTACTAGTTTCAATGCCAACTATTATTATAATTTCATAATGAAAGTTATTCTATTTTTATCAGTAGATATTTCCTTTCAAACTATGTAATTTTTATTTTTAATAAGATAGAGATATCAATTGTATTAAATTTATACAATAAAATATTCAGAGGTAGAATACGTGAGTACCAAAGTGACTAAATTTGAAAAATGTGGTATTTAGTAAAAACAAGTTGCAGAGTATACAGAAAGTATGACGACACTTACACGAGATATATAAAAACATGAAACAGCTGCTAATTTTTTTTCCCACATTGTAAGCTGTCTCTTAGCTCTGTTGGTGGTTTCTCTTGCAGTGCAGAAACTTTTTAATAAGATGAGATCCCAGTTGTTGATTTTTTGTGCTAGTTCCCGTGCTACTGAGGTTTTCTTCATAAAGTCTTTTCCTATGCCAGTGTCTTCAAGAGTTCTACTTAACTTATCTTTCAGCAAGTTTAGTGGGAGAGGAAGGGGAAAGGAAAGAAGGGAAAGGAAAAATTATGAGAAAAGAAAAAAAATGGAAATGAAGTCTATGTAAATAGGGAACGATT